GAAGTATATATAAAATATATATATATTTTTTTTTTTTAAAAAAAAAAAAAACACACACACACATATATATATATATATATATATATATATATATATATATATATATATATATATATATATATATATAAACTAGTACTCCTTTCATATGTTTAAAAGATGGGTGTCCCATTTTCTTTCAAAAACAAACTTTTCAGTTCAATGAAAATGATCTTAAATTTAAACCTACCATCGGTGTGAATAATTACAGATTTAATCCTATTCATAAAAGTTTCCCCATGAAGCAACAGACCTGTATCTCTGGTAGTCGTCGTCATCCTTATCCAGGCTCACCAGCTGGTTGGGGCAGGCCTCGTTTCCCAGCAGGCTTAGGTACTCGAGCGATGGGGTCACATCAGCTAAGTGTTCCAGCAGGGCCTCGATATCAGTCAGGTGTCAAAGGGCAGATGTCAAGGACCTAGCGCTGTTAATTACATTAGCATTCACTACGCACACAACCCGTCCCAGGCCTGTCTGCACTAAAACACGTCACTGTCAAATTTATTGAGGTGCTCAAAGAGGCTAGTCAGTGGCTTTGTGAGAGTGGGCAGACAGAGGTGCAATTTAAGGTGCAGACTTTGGCATATAGCACTGACACAATTTGGCTCCTGCTCTGACTCTTTCTCTCAAATCTCTTTCATTTCCTAGGTGGCCGGGTGCACAACGGTGACAAAATGATGGATGCCCTGCGGTTCAAATAGTCCATGCTTCTCGGAGCTGCGCTGTGGAAAAGTTTTGCGAAACATGGAAAAAAAAACAAACAGCCCCTAAGAAGGCACATTCATCACTAATACATTCACTTGGAAAATTGAGCCCCAAAGTGTCAAAATACAACTGCACTAATGCGGCGCTGTAGCTTTAAAATGGCACTGTGCCACGACAGGATGTACATAATTGGCCTATTAGCATGTGCCGACCACTTCACAACAGAACTGAGCACACAGTCCCAGATGCACAGTTCAAGGAGTCCCAGTTTTAATGTTGACTCTGGAAGTGTGCGTGAGTGTGTGTGTGTGTGTGTGTGTGTGTGTGTGTGAGAGAGAGGGAACATCGTTACCCAGCAGGATCTGCATAACCAAAGGAAAACAGGACACATTGCCGAACCTGCTCTGAGGCTCAGGGAGGAAGTTCGCACTTCTCCGACTGATCATAAACAGCTTTGCAATACGTTTTACATCTATGCCTAAATTTACAGCGACGCCACAGAGCTGTGGCTTTAACGTGTTTGCAATGTCTGGCAACTAGAAAATACGCTAGGCAATGAAGTAAAATGTGAATATCTGGAAATCAATTAAAAACATGGTGCTGTTAATTCAAGGGTGGATTATGGAAAAATGTTTCTTTTCAAACTTTGTATATATATATATATATATATATATATATATATATATATATATATAGGCAAAACATAAATAAAGGATGTCCTTTTATTTCTACTCTGAAAATAAAAGTGTGTGTTATTGTAACTGTTGAATCTGATTCCACTAGAGGTCCCTGTAGTTCAAAAACTAGTCATGTGTGTAGCTGTGTGACAGCCAAGTTCTTCTACACAGAGTGCTTCCTGCAAAGCCACATCATTACAAAGAGACACTTTCAGACAATAACGAATTGCACTCGCTTATGAAAGAGGTAAAAACAAACAGTTTGCTGTAATTTACGTCTGGAAATGCAACACAAATTATGGCCCGAGTTGATTCTTCTCAAAAGGATATTTGGTTCTTATTGAGTGTCAGGGTGTGGAGCTTGGGTAACCTGGGCAACTGGAGGTCATTTCCAAGCAGATTGTTGTCGACGACCAACTCTTCCAGCTCAGTAAACATTTTGAGGCCTGCCAGCGACCTGTAATGATAAGGAAACAGTAAAGTGGTTATGGCTCCAAATCTGCTCCGCGGTTATTGTGCAGAAATAAATATTTCAGCCTCTCTCCTTTCATACGGCAGGAGAGTGTGGGCCTGAGCCTGTCAGTGAAGTGAATGACAAGAATTTGTGGTGCTGAGCTCCCCTGGCATGGCGAGGCATCCTTCAGTGGCTGGCAGGATGAGGGATGGGGGTCACTTGTGAGTAGCCAGGATTCAAAACAAAAGGCTTCAGAAATGCAGCGGGCAGGATGAATTTGTCAATGTCTTGTGCCTTGAGGCGCCCAGTTTCGCCTGACCCTAACCCTCCATTCCCAAGACAAATCACTCTGTCACAGTTCACCTTCACTCCCCAGACACAAATTTAACTTGTCATCCATCATTTTCACAGAGGAACTGGGATACACTCACAATCACAGATGCAGTAGAAGGGGAAACTTTTTTTTTTTCCTGCCACTGCGTCATGATAGGGGGGTTTAGTGTTCAGATTACAACATCAAAGCTTTTTTTTCTTTTAAAAGGAGGAAACATTTGGCCCTTCCGTTCATTTTTATGACACATTGCACAGAGGTGAGGGGTCATCCCAGCTTCTTTCCTGTCCACCTCTCTCACACATATACAAATTAACACAGGCATAAAATTGACAGAAGGTGGTGTTAAAAGTTATGTTAGGGCCCTGCAAAGTTCAAGTCATAGAAGCCACACAAAAGGCGATGTGTGTGCTGTCTAATCCTTCACTGTCAGAGTGCCATGTTAAAGCGTCCTGGGAGACTTCACTGACATTTAAATCTGACACACTGCAGACACTGAACTTCTCGAAACCTCTTACAGTTCAAATGAGAACTGTTTTAAATTCAATCAGGTATTCTTAATCAATAGGCACTTTAGTAAATTAAATATTTTAAGCTTATTTTTCATATATATATATATATATATATATATATATATATATATATATATATATATATATATATATATATATATATATATATATATATATATATATGCACACAGTAAAATAAAAGAAGGGTGACATCAAGTGTCATGAGAAAACATTCCAGTGAAAAATGTCACATTCCGGCAGGAAAAATTCAGGATACGATGACTAAAAAAGCTGCAGCACGACACAATGCTCTCTCCTGGATCTGCATCAGTCTCGGAGGCTACATATCATACATCATCAGCTACATTTTGTTTTAAACAACCAAACTGATATGAATTATGTTTTTTTTTTGTTTGTTTGTTTTTTTGGCTGAGAGAATATGGGGGGTGGGATGTTGGAATTTCGTGGAATCCAATATGACTTCTGCACATGCATATGTTCTAGCATGACTGACAGTGTGCATGTCTTTTAATCAGTGGCACAGACAGTGCCAAAAAAATAGGTTATTACTACATAATTTTGATGAAAGTAGTTACCACCACAAACACTGTGAAAATTCCACTGTTTTCTGACTCATAACATGGATCTCGACAACTCTGGGGTGTGAAGTAATTTCTAGCTCTAAGGGATTGAAATACATTTTGAACACAGCATAAAAACAACCCAAAAATTAAAGAACTCCTAGATGGATTTCCTCAGACAGGTTTTTTTTTTTCTGTGTAGTAATGAACTGTGTAGTCTAACTATTCAAATTACTTAGAGATTGGCTGAAAACTTTAAATTATGAACACAGAACATTACTGCAACAGCATTTAGTGTATTCTTTATATTTTTGACTTGCAGGAGAGTCGGATGAGAAGACATCAACACACACACGTACGCATACACACTGACAAGGAAAGTTGACAGCACCCTGCCAGTGTGCTGGCAAACCTGCCCGCTGACAACCTCTTATCAGGGATCGTAAATCCAGCAGCAAGATGGATGAATGGAGAGAAGTGGCAGTTTTTTTTTTGTTTTTTTTTTTTTGTTTTTTCTTTTCGAATTTGGGTTGGGTGTGTCTTCACCTTGTGGCACTTCTCATTTATTAAGAGATAGGAAACATGTCAAACCCCATACATTTGTTGGTAGCTCTCTTGTTTTAAGAACCAAAGACTAATTAGACTTCAAGATGTTCATTTGTATTTCTACTCTATTACCTCGGAATCACACTAATAAGAAATATACTTCTTACATATATGTGTATATTTAATTGTGCTCTTTTTCCCATTTGTGGACGATGGAAAAATGATGAAAAAATGTTTTGTCTTAATTCTAAATATAGGTGTCAATGAAACAAATATGAAGTCCTAAAACAACTACAGCACATTAGGAAGAACTTGCTATTATGTTACAAGGATAATATTTATTAATGAGTAGTTGAGAGAAATCTCCCACCACCTTGGATAAACATTTAATTTTCTGTGCACAAAAGGCTGCAAACAAACTATAGCCATCTGTGTGTGTGTGTGTGTGTGTGTGTGTGTGCCTGCGTGTCTGTGTCTGATGGGCTGCAGTCCTGTGGGTTATGTTATTAGCTGCTCGGTTAAAGGGAGCCGCATGGCACAGGGGGGAGCCTTATTAATTGTTGTTTTCATGTCACCACCACTGTGTGCACTGGCTGATTTAATCAGTTAAATTCACAGCCAGGGGAGAGCCACTAGGTCCCATCCAGCATTAGCTACAGAGCTGGGATTGAACTTCTAATACTCTCCAGCTCTCTATGCTCCCCTCTGCAGACTTCCATAGCTGCTTTCATTACTTTTTATAAGCCTTGTTGTTTTAATGTGCAGCTTGGAGAACTAACAAAGTTTAAGCACTGCAGTAAAAGCACTTTCCTTAATAAAAAAGAAAAACTGAAAAAAAAAAAAAAAAAAAAAAAACACTAATGAGAATAACTGCCTGCAACTGATGTTTGGTAAAAGTTGGGAATCAAGAAAAAAAGAAGAGCAAAAAATGTTCCTGTAATGATTAAATATACACTTATCTTTGTTTATTTCTATTCTTCAAAAAGAGCAGCAATAACTGCATGATTTCTACAAAAACACCAATTGTCCTTTGTATTTTTAAGAAGCTCACTGTAACTGTAAAAAAAATAAAAAATACTGTATGAGTAATAATTAATTCAAATCAGAGTGGAGCAATTAGGTACATATTTAGAAAAATAAATATGTGCACCATATTTGATCAAACGACTTTATGTTAAACCTCTATCGTGCAAGAGACCGAGCAGCAGTAGCTTTCAGAGACAGAAAGGCGCTTCAACGAGGTGAGGCAATGAATCCTGCACTTGTTAAGATAATTATGATCAGCCTCATTGTCAGAGCTAATACTTCACACGGGCTGTCTTTGCGCTTTGACTACCACTTAGCCTGTGTAAGCCCGCCATTATACATCACACAACGCTGCCTGCATATCGGTGTACGTGCTTTGGAGCTTACATAAGTGGTGGGTGTATGTGCTGAAACCACCATTATCTACAAATATCCTGCCGACTGAGCCCCAAGAGGAGACAGATACGTTTTTAGCAGGAGCAGAAACTCAGCAGAGGAAGTGGAGGATGTGAGAAGCCAGACAAGGACATTGGAGAGGAGACACTGACCCAGAGAGCAGCTTTCCCGGATCAATACACTAATACTGATGCAGACATAGTGATTGATAAACCGCAGCTGACAACAGAGGGAAGAAAACTCTCGCTTGTTATTGGCTGGAATGTCAGTCACTTCTGCCAGTGGTGTGCACCAGTGTCATGTTGGATATCCTCAGGCAACACATGAAAAATTAAGAACAGCAGTCTTGGCTACTTTACATGTGTTACACAGTCTTCCATCTGCTGCTGAAACTGTGGTCTGAGTGAAGTTGCTTTTGCTCAACCTATCATGCGTTAATACAATGCATTCTCTATTACTGTGGAACCACATCTGGGCTCCTGCACAGTACTTCGAAAATGTCCTTGAATTCACATCCAGAACTAGGGACTTTGAAAAGCTGGAGAGGCTTCAGAGCTGAAGTCCGGCAGCTGATGTCCTCTCAGATGGTTGCATAAGTGCAGAAATAAAGAAAAAAGGAAATCTTATTTTAAGTTAGGCCAGCTGGATCTGCAGAGTTGCAGGCGCGCTGACATCCTTTACAGAAGGAAACAGATAACTGTTTGATGAATTGACCAATTCCAGGGCTATGATAACCTTCACATGAGCATTACACACTTTTAAGAGTTCACTTCAGATTATTTGCGAGGATGTGGTGCTGTAATAAATAGAGTACAGAAAGTGGACCTCAGATGACAACTGTGTGTGGACTGGCAGCGATAAACTTAACAACAAGGGTGAAAGGATGAGTTAGGGAAAGGAATGAAAGCAGAGACTCACTAAACCAAAAAGTAAACACAGAATTTAAACCATGAAATGCATTAGACGATGGTTTAAACTTTTCCATATTTTGTCATGGAAAGAGCACAAAACAAAAATTTTATTGGACTTTTTTGTAAGTCCAATAAAATATGAAAGAAGAATATGAAAACTGTGGCATGGGTCTCTAAAACTACTTTGTTGGACTTAGAGCCACAAACAATTTGGAGCATGACTCTAAAGAATATTTTGCCCATCCTTTGTAAAATAGCTCAAGCTCAATTACACTGAACCAGCTTTGAACATTGATTTTCAATTCTTGCTGTGGACTCGCAGTTGGATTTAGGTCTGGGCTTTGACTGGGCCGTTATAGTACATGCAGACTGCCTTGATTTAAGCCATCCACCCCAGCTCTGGCTGTACATCTGGACGTATCTTGTTGGAAGGGAGAGAATCTTTCATAGTCTAAGGTCTTTAGCATTGAGCTCAGTCCATCTTCCCATCAACTCTAAAAAAATGCCAGAACAAAAGCATCACCGCGGCAGCATGCCACCACCAACATTTTAAGACGGGAACAGTGTGTTCAGGCTGAGGTGCACACTTAGTTTTTTTTATATCACAAAGCACATTATGTGTAGATCAAAAAGTTAAGTCGTAGACTCATCTGACCAAAGCACTTTCTTAAATTCTCTTAAATTGATGTGGTTGATGAAA